CCCTCTCTCTACAGATGATGCAGACCAATGTCCCAGGCGTGTTCGCAGCTGGTGATGCCGTCACCTTCCCCCTTGCCTGGAGGAACAACCGGAAAGTGAACATTCCACACTGGCAGATGGCTCATGCTCAGGGTATGGCCAGTCCCGAAGTACGTGGAGGGGTGTGGGGGAGTCTCAGGATCTCAGTGTCCCCATGCCCATGCCTCAGTTGCTGACCTTGGGTCCTGGACACTGTGTTAGGCAACAAAGCTCTGATGTGGGTTCTCTGGCCAACCTCATCCTGGCGATCCAGTCAGCACACAGAATGGCACCCCATTGAGCCAGCCACAGCTTCTCAACTTCAGTTTTCCTTCTGCTAGTCTCTCCCTTTTTGTCCTCAAGGACATATATTCTGCCGAATTCCTAATCAACCTGGGGAGGGAGGGAGGGGTTGAATGGGTCATCTTCATACCTCATGCCTCTGTTTCCCTTGGGCCACTCAACTGTCTCCGTGAACTCAGTTGCTTCATGTAGGTCCCCAAAGTGGCATCTAAGCCCAGAAACCTGGGCTCAGTGGAGACACTGTGCTTTCTGAAGAATAGCTTTCCCCTCCTCATGTTTGCTGTCCACTAAGTCCCCCAAGCCTTGCCCATGGTGCACACCTGGTCTGGGACCCTAAGCTGCAGATGCCATGACATTAGCTGCCCCACGTCCTCAGAGAGAGGACTGCCAGACTTGCAGCCTGGGACAAGGGACTTCTCTATGCCCACCTCCCCTTCCCTCTGCCTGTACACCTGAGGGTTTGCAGCTTGAAACCCCACTCCTGGTACCAATTTCTGTCCAAGTACAAAGTCTAAAGTTGTTGCTAGGCTGTAAGTAACCAAGGCTACTTATCAGCCAAGTGCACAGCTGAAATGGTGGAGTAGTCCCCCAACCCCAAGAAACAGACCTTCCAGAGGCAGGGCACTTTATTCAGATTCTCTAGGGAATCAATCAAGTGCCTAGCTTTCAGTCAGGTGTTCCCCTGCACCAGTCAGCTGCAGGTGCAAGTGGGCAGCGGGCTGAGCAATGATGTCTCTTGACCTCTGGGGAGACCAGGAGGAGGAGCCACACGTTTCAGGGGTCCTCACAGCATCAGGAGCAGGTATTGTGGGAGTGGTAAGGGCGAGAGTCGGGGTTTTCACAGCCCTGGGTCCCGCAGGGCGCGTGGCAGCTCAGAACATGCTGGCGCAGGAGGCGGAGATCAGCACCGTGCCCTACCTCTGGACCGCCATGTTTGGCAAGAGTCTGCGCTACACGGGTAACCCCGTGGCCTCGGATGGGGTCGGGACCGAGTGTATTAGGGGCGGAGCTTGGATATGGGGCGGGGCTGGAAACCTAGGGGCAGAGCTATGACCGCACTAAGGAGAGGCCAATAAGAATTCGCTAGGGGTGAGGCTAGGAACTACCTAAAAGGATGTATGGAGCAGGGCCTGGGTGGGGTTAGGAGGGGATCCTGTGAAGTCTCCTTCCCTTCCCCGGCTCACGCGGGTGCCACCCACCTGCCCGGCCCACAGGCTATGGAGAAAGCTTCGACGACGTCATCATCCAGGGGGATCTGGAGGAGCTGAAGTTTGTGGCTTTTTACACTAAGTGAGAGCATCAGGATGCAGTGTGGGCGCGAAGCAGCGGGAGCTCAGTCGGGAAGGGGAATTCATCCCAGGCAAAATCCCAGAAAAACAGCCCAGCCCTGAGCCCCGCTGAAGACTGCTGGAGCTTCCCTAGGAAAGCCTGAAGCTTGTGCATGGTCAAGCCGCAACGTGCAAAGCAGGGAGGGCTGGGTGCATTTCCTGTTGCCCTGGGCTAGGTCCTTCCCTGGGCCCCAGATGGACAGCAGTGCATCAGGGTTTTCAAAAAGGGGCTACTGCCTGGCAGTCCTCAGGCTTGGCCATCCTCTCCCTGCAGAGGCGACGAGGTGATTGCCGTGGCCAGCATGAACTACGATCCTATCGTGTCCAAGGTTGCTGAGGTGCTGGCTTCAGGCCGTGCCATCCGGAAGCGGGAAGTGGAGTGAGTGTGGGTGTGGGAGGCCTGGACCGGGGAGTAGTTCCCTGGAGGACTGGCTAAGCTGCCCATGACTGCCAGCTACCCCCACAGCCTTCCAGGGCTTTTCCCCTCACTGTTGGTTTGCATCACCTGAGGCTTCCAGGACTATAGGGAGGATTATGGTTTGGGAGTAGGCTGGTTATGTGCTTACAGTGGATGGAAGGGATGGGGTGTGTATCCCCCGGCAGGGCCAGTGGTGTGGGGAGGGGTCAGGGCCCAATGCATGGGTGATCACCAGGCCTGGGACATCTAACTGGACGTGGTTGTGCTGAGCCCAATAGAAACTAGATGGGAAACACAGCTAGTGATGCCCTGGATATACCCTTCATAGAGATGTTGGGGTGGTTCTAGGGGTCACTCAGCACCAGCCAGTTCCCTCATCCTGGTGTGGTGCCAATGAGATTCACCCTCTGGGAGGGACTGGGGACAGCCTGGAGGCCACTGGGGGGGCTACGAGACAGGGGCAGGCTTCAAGCTGGAAACAATGGAGGACCAGAAGGGGACATGATAAATGACATGCTCTCTCCGTGGCCTTCTGTTTCTCTCTCTTGCCTTCGTGAAGGCTGTTTGTGCTGCACAGCAAGTACGTGTCCTTCATGTTGACCATTCTGAGCCTTTCCCATCTCAGCCCAGACCCTCCACCCAATGGTCTATCTCCATCTATCCAAGTACATCTCCCTGCTGGGCACCAGGGTCTGGCACAGAACAGACCCCCTGCTGTCCTCAAGGGCCAGCTGCTCTGGGTGCCCAGAGTGGAGAGGCTTTCTTCTGTCCTGACCTCTCTTCCCCTCATTCTTGCAGGACTGGTGACATGTCTTGGCTTACAGGGAAAGGATCCTGAGCTTACATGCAGTAGACTTGGGCAGGCACAGGGGCGGGGGCACCAGGGGCAGAGGCCAAGCCTTGGGGGCAGGTGCCAATCTCCAGTCCCAGGATCCCCCAGGTCAGAACCTGAGCCCTCCCAGTGCTTGCCTCCAGCCACCTGACTCCCCTCCAGGGAGGCCTCTGCAGCCTCCAGAAGATGTTCAACCCTCAAGGCCTCTGCTGCCACTGACAGCGGGCCCCAGAGGCAGGACAGGCCCTGTCTCTTCTCCTTCTTTTGGGACTGGTCCCCTGAAGGACCCGACAACATGTTAGACATTACTGTAAAATTAAAACGCACACATTTGCAGATGTGTATGACTCCCAGCGTAATTGGGCCAACAGGTATAGGGCCAGACCACAGGGAAACAGGCACAATCACACACTACTAGGTGCCACACCAAGGAAATTTGGCCTGTGAACACCCAGAGAAGGTAGCAACTGATTCTGTGCCCCCTGCCCTCCCACATCTCTCTCCCCCTCTGCGATCAGGGAAGGTTTTTTTGCTTTTGGCTCTGAATTTTGAAGGAAGGGTACTACAGGTAGAAGGGACAACACGCCCAAAAGTCTTGAGATAGTAAATGCTCCTTCAGAGGTGGCTCATTCTTGACACTTTGGGGCATTTAACCACTTACGGCTCTGGGAGCTGTGTCCTGAGACAGACCCCATGCCTTTCATAGCTGGAGCATTCTCAATTCCCATGTTGGAGGTGAAGCAGCTGAGGCCCTGCTAAGTAGGAATGAGAATCCAGAGGCTCCTCGCCGCGTTGCCTCCTAGTCAATAAGAACGCCAAGGAATGAGGGGAAATGCGGGGGGTCAGGGCTGGGGGCGCTAGCAGGAAAGGGAGCATTGAGCCGCCTGCAGAGGCCGCTGCGAGCCCGGAACCCTGCATGTGAGATCCTAACAGCGGCGAACAATCCAGGCCAGAGTCACGCCCAGACACAGGGCATGCCGGGAACTGCGAGCCCACCGCGGGTCTTCGTTTGGTGTGGGCCTGGGAGGCACCGGGGAAGAGCAGTTACGAGGCGTTGGGGACGGGACACCACATTCACTAGAAGGGGCAGCCCAGCGCCAGTCCCCAGAAAGTCCCACGCTTGCCACGCAGCAACCCAACCCTGCACTCGCCGGCGGTCTCTTGGCCAGCTCTAGGGTTGCCGGGAAGAGCGAAAGGCCGCAAGTGCAGCGCTGGTCGGAAGTGCCGCGCCGACAGCGCAGGGCTCGCCGGGAAATGTGGTTCCTCTAGGCGGCCCGGGGCGGTGGCCGCGAGTTCTGCAGACAGCGCGGCGGATCCGGCGTGGACCCGGGATGGCTGGACCGGGCAGCACTGGGGGCCAGATCGGGGCTGGGGGCCTGGCAGGCGGTGCGCGGTCTAAGGTAGCCCCGAGCGTGGACTTCGACCACAGCTGCTCGGACAGTGTGGAGTACCTGACGCTCAACTTCGGGCCCTTCGAAACAGTGCATCGCTGGCGGCGCCTCCCGCCCTGCGACGAATTCGTGGGTGCTCGGTACGGTGGGCTTCAGTGGGTCCTGAGGGCAGGAGGGGCGACCTGCAAGGGTCCTAGGGCGTGGTCCATGGGTGGGGCCGGGGCGTAGTGTTCTGGGGTGGTTTCTGGTAACGGGGGGTGGTGTTGTATAGGACTCTGTTCAGGGCAGGGGAGAGGGTTCTGGGGGAGTTCCAGAGCCCGATGGATGACCCGGGGCAGGGTACTAGAACTAAGTTGTGTTTGTGGACATTGGGCTGGGGTGCCAGGTGCTCTGAGCTGGGGTGAGGAGTCCAGAGAGTCCTGGAGCCGTGTCAGGGGTCCTCACTTGCAGGATGATTGGTGTTATCTTAGCAGTTATGGATCTTAGCCGTTGAGAGATGATATCTAACTTCGGTGGCAGCTTTCCTGCTTAGTCCCATTCCTTGGGTGCCCCAACAGGAGGGTCCTGTCCTCACCTCCCTGCACTCCTTTCTTTCCAGGCGCAGCAAGCACACAGTGGTGGCCTATAAAGATGCCATTTATGTATTTGGTGGAGACAATGGGTGAGTGAGTCTGAGCATCAGTGTTTGGACCAGGTAGGGATAAGTACTGTGGTCAGGGACTGGGCCTGTCCAGCTCCATTACTGTCCTTTCAGATGTTAGCTAGTGCCTCTAAGCCTCAGTTTCCCCATCTGTGAGGTTCCTTGCACTCACCTCCCTGGTGGTGAGGATTAAATGAGATCCTGCCCTCATGGTCCTCAGCACAGCTTCCAGTGGGTGGCACATGCTCAATATGTGGAAATGTCCCTCTTGTTCTGAGTAGATGCAGCCTTGAAAGAAACACAACCCTCTTTGTGGCCAGCCCTGCGAGGCACTTTTCTTTCCCTGGGCCTCATCTGGTAAGGAGGACGCAGTTTTATCTATTTCATGAAGTTTTCATTTTTTTGTGAAGGTTTTCCCACATTGCTGCAAACATCAGGCAACAACCTGATGTTTTATTGGTGGGCACACCTCGTTTCACATGAACTGTCTCCAGTTAAGTTGTGGCTGGTTTCCTTATGCAGAGGGTGGGGTATTTGCACATGACCAGTTGTGCCCATGTGTCCTAGCCCTGCTTCTCAGGACCTGCAGTGAAGCCCTGGAAGGGCTGGCCTCTTACTGGTTCTGCAGCCTTGGTCCTCTGTAGGCCTCCCTGGGGGGCTGGCTTGAAGATGGTGGGGTAGTCAGGACCCCACCAGGGTCCACACACTGCGCAGAAGAGCCTCCCTGGGCATGGCCCTGGCTTCAAACCTGTCCTCCTCCCACTCTCTTTCCCCAGTTGTAGCCAGTGGGACCCATTTACAAGTGCAAGTCAGAGCATGTCCCTCCTTGGCTCATCCTCCTGTGATGCCTCCCTGCCTCTCTGAGTAAAAGCCCAACCTCATGAGAGTCTGCTGCTCCTCTGCCCTCAGTCTCTCACTGCACTGGGGCTGCACAGGCTGCCTTGTTATGTTTGGTTTGTACGAAGTGCCCCCCTGCTCAGGCCTATGCACTACCCGTTCTCTTCCCTCACCTTCCTGCCTCTCCTCTGATGCTTCTTGTGACTGAGGCCTTCCTTGGCCATCTGGACCACTGGAGACTGTTGCCTCCCCTTCATGCCTCTTACCATCTTCATTTGTTCCTGAGGCATACAGATGTTGGTTATTATCCATCTCTTCAGTCAAGGCAGGGCCTGTGCTCCTTTTACCACTGTATCCTGGCATCTAGAAAACTTAATAAATGTTTGTCAAATGAAGAAATGAAATAAAGAAGAGGCATCTAACCACAGGCGTTTACTGGAGCCTTAATGAGAACCTTCCAAACCAGAAAAGGCTTTAGTGTCCAGTGCATGGCAGTAAGTGGGAAATGGGGGACCTTCATCCTCAAGAGTGTCCTGAGCAGGTAGTTTCTGTGACAACTGTGTAGCAATAAGCAGAAACATTTTTGCTGGAATGTGACAAAGAAATAGGATACAAATTTGTCTCACTTTGTAAAGACTGTCTTAGTACAAAGAAAGATGGCCTGCTGTGGCACGTGGGGCAAGTGAGGGAGGGAGGGGAAATATCATAGTCAGGGGCTCCTGGCTTCCTGGCTGCATTGCCTCCGACACAGCCTTTGAACTACTAGGCTTTGTCGCCATCTGTGAAATGGAGGTGGGAGCACACCCACTGGTGCAGACTGAGACGGTGAAGGGGCACCCAGCATAGGCTGGGCGTGAGGGGCCCTGGGCTCCTGTCAGTTTGCCCTTCTTCCCAAGAGCTGGGTAGTAACATGCCAGCTGGTCATGTTAGGTGGTGCAATGACCAGTGGATTTGTTTTTCTATTTAATTGTATCTTTACCATGATTATTACATGGTAATCTTTAACATGATTATTACATTGGCTTTTGCGATAAAGAGTGGCAGGGGCCAGGTTCGGTGGCTCAAACCTGTAATCCCAGCACTTTGGGAGGCTGAAGTGGGAAGATTGCTTGAGGTCAGGCATTCAAAACCAGCCTGGGCAGTAAAGCAAAACTTCATCTCGCAGGCCCAAGCAATTCTCCTGCTTCAGCCTCCTGAGTTGCTGGGATTATAGGTGCCTGTCACCATGCCCAGCTAATTTTTGTATTTTTGGTAGAGATGGGGTTTCACCATGTTGGCCAGGCCTCCTGACCTCAAGAAATCCACCCTCCTTGGCCTCCCAAAGTAGTGCTGGGATTACAGGTGTCAGCCACCTAGCCCAGCCCATTGTCTCTCTCTCTCTCCCTCTTTTTTTTTTTTTTTTTTGAGACAGAGTCTCACTCTGTCTGCCAGGCTGGAGTGCAGTGGCATGATCTTGGCTCACTGCAACCTCTCTCTCCCGGGCTCAAGCAATTCTTCTGCCTCAGCCTCCTGAGTAGCTGGGATTACAGGCGTGTGCCATCACACCCAGCTAATTTTTGTATTTTTAGTAGAGACGGGGTTTCACCATGTTGGTCAGGCTGGTCTTGAACTCCTGACCTCAGGTAATCTGCCTACTTTGGCCTCCCAAAGTGCTGGGATTATAGGCATGAGCCACCATGCCCAGCCTTTAAAAAAATTTTTTTTAAAGAAGTGACAGGAAGATCAGAGAGATGCAAAGGGCCTCCCCTGAGGCATGGGCAAGCACTTGCATTGTGGGGTGCAGCCGCAGAGGAAGGGGATTGGGATGTGTGAATAGGGGTTCTGGAAGCTGGGGTGAGGGTGACTCTGGCCTTTCGGCCATTTCATGCCCTCACATCAGCTGCTGTTTGGGCTCCAGGTGGCCACGTTCACGCTTTGGTTCTGACCAAAGCTGGTGGTTGCCTGTGTGGCAGCCCTGGTGCCCACATCAGTTGGGGAGCCTCCTTTGTGGTCAGCACTCTTGTTCTTGGGCATCAGCTGGTTGCCTGGCTGGGTTAGTGATACAGCCCAAAACAGCCCCTTACTCCACTCTGGCTACATGCAGTTCCCATCTCGGGGGTCCCTGCAGAGCAGACCTGACTAATGCCACCCTCTTTCTGGCTGCCTTTCAGGAAGACCATGCTCAATGACCTCCTGCGGTTCGATGTGAAAGACTGCTCCTGGTGCAGGTAGGTGGCCCCGTACTCTAGGGCCTTTCCTCCTAGAACACAGTGGCACGGTGCTGGGTCCCAGTTGCTAGCAGAGTCTCACTCATCTTGGGAATCTAGAAAGAAGCTTCCAGGAGGAGATAAGCAACAGCCTCAGGGATGCCACACCCAGAGCCACCCCGTCAGGGCTGAGGAGATCAAGTGACTGCCTATCACCTTCAGCTGCCAAGCTGGGCACACAGGGTGGCACCCTTCTGGGCTGCCCACCTCTGCCCCAAGGCTGGCGCTAGTATGGGTACAGAAATTGCTATGTCATTTCTCTCACACTTGATTTTGTAACATGGCTAATAGTTACAAATTAATTTTAAAAATCATTCTGAAGGCTTCACAATTATTTGTCAAAAATTGCTTAAGTATAAAACTCAGAAAAGGAGTAGCCACAGGTAAGTAGTGTAAATGGATTCAGTACATAATATGTAAAGGCAAGGCGCAGTGGCTCATGCCTGTAATCCCAGTGCTTTGAGAAGCTGAGGAGGGAAGCTCCCTTGAGGCTAGGAGTTCAAGGCCAGCCCAGGTAACAAAGATAGATAGATAGGTGAAAGAAAGAAAGAAAAATAGATGATAGATAGATAGGTAGATGATAGACAGTAGTTGATAGATAGATTGATAGATGATAGGTAGGTAGATGATGGATAGGTAGATAGATCATATAGATAGATAGGTGATAGGTGAAATGATAGGTAGGTAGATAGGTAGATAGACGATGGTTAGATAGGTATTAAATGAAATTGATGGACCCTGTGCTGTCGGATGCCACGCTGCTGCTGAGAGCAGGAATGTGGATGGTCCTAGAGTAGCGTAAGGACCTGGTCACATTCTGTGAGTTGAATAAGCAGTTCACAAAATATCTACCACTTGATTCCATTTTAAAAAATTCCATGGAGGCCAGGCATGGTGGCTCACACCTGTAATCCAAGCACTTTGGAGGCCAAGGCAGGCGGATCACCTGAGGTCGGGAATTCAAGACCAGCCTGACCAGCATGGTGAAACCCCGTCTTTATTAAAAAAAAAAAAAAAAAAAAAAAAATTCCATGGAAACATAAATATGCACCGGAGGTGTTCAGGGAAGACCTCAGGGTGATGCCAGAGGTTTTCTTATAATGGGAATTTGCATGAGTTTTATTGCCTATTTTGTTTTTTCCTTATTGGTGATTTTTTTAAAAAAAGTTTCTATAATGAGGCAGGTATCACCTTAAAAATACGAAAATGAAAGGTAGCCAGGCGAGGTAGTTCACACCTGTAATCCCAGCACCTTGGGAGGCTGAGATGGGTGGATCACCTGAGGTCAGAAGTTCAAGATCAGCCTGGCCAACATAGTGAAACCCCACCTCTACAGAAATACAAAAAAAGTAGCCAGGCAAGGTGGTGGGTGCCTGTAATCCCAGCTACTCAGGAGGCTGAGTTGGGACAGTCAATTGAACTTGGGAGGCGGAGGTCGCTGAGATCATGTGACTGCACTCCAGCCTGGGCAAGAGAGCGAGACTGTCTCAAAAAAATAAAAAAAAGAAAGAAAGAAAGGCAGCACAGGGTGTGGACCTCATGCCTCATGGGTGACCCCCCCGACCCTCACCATCCCTGTGCCCACTTCAGGGCATTTACCACTGGGACCCCACCGGCCCCCCGTTACCACCACTCGGCTGTCGTATACGGGAGCAGCATGTTTGTCTTTGGTAAGTACCCTCTTGCCTCCCAGCGGCTGTGTCGCCCCGAGGCCCACCGATACCCTCCCCTTCTGCAAGCCTGGACCTTTTGTGCTCATGCTGTGCACAGCAGGGACTCTGTCCACCCTTGGCTTTGTCTGCCAGTCTTCTGAATTCTGTGCTGGATCTGGGGCCCCTTGCCCTAACGGCCCTGAGCTCACAGGGCTGGGTGTCTTTCTGTGTGACGGGGCTATGGCTGGAAATAGTGTCCTGCTCATCTCTGTGTCCCCAGAGCCCAGCACAGAGGCAGGCAGGCAGTAGGTGTTTCTGGAGCTTGTGGAGGGAATCCTGTCTTATGAATTTTCAGTGGGGCCAGATTCTGCTCCATCTCCCAGTGTTTGAGACCTTAAATCCTGCCTTTGGGTTTGATGGTTCCTTACTTTCTTTACCCAGGGGGCTACACTGGGGACATTTATTCCAATTCTAACTTGAAGAATAAAAATGACCTCTTTGAATACAAGTTTGCAACTGGCCAGTGGACTGAGTGGAAAATTGAAGGACGGTGAGAAACTGCAGAAACATTTGGGACAGGCTGGGTCCTGGGTGGCAGTAGACCTGGGATCTGCCCCATTTTGCCTCCCAGATGAGGGCCCTGAAGGCATGCAGTAGCAGGGAGCTTGGGGGTTGGTGGGATCCCCTGGGGGCAGCTATACACGGTCTGCTCCCAGCCCTTAGATTCCCTCCTTTCAGAAGAGACCCAAATGGGTTGTGTGGTGGTGCACGGTTGTAGTCCTAGCACTTTGGGAAGCCGAGGTGGGAGGATCACTTGAGCCCAGGAGTTCAAGGCTGCAGTGAACTATGAATGCCCCACTGCACTCCAACCTGGGAGATGGAGCAAGACCCTGTCACAAAAAAATTAAAAAAAAAAAAAGACTCAATGTACTGCTGATAGCATTTCTGGGGTCCGGCTCTTCAAGCACCTCCTTTGTATTTTGGTGGCACGGAGGAGAAGGTTCTGTGCCTCTGTAGCTGCCTGCTGCTGTTGCTTATTCCCGGTGCTTTGTGGAGGCCCTGAAGCCCCAGTGTCGGGCAGATGTGGCCATGCTGTGGCCCCTGCGCTGGCCTCGTGCTGGGAGGCTCAGATCTGTGCTGGGCAGTCTCACTCCCTCCCCTCTTCCCTTGCGTTTCAGGTTGCCAGTTGCTAGGTCAGCCCATGGGGCCACGGTGTATAGTGACAAGCTGTGGATATTTGCTGGTTATGATGGCAACGCCAGGTGAGTGGTGGTCCAGCCTGTGCACCCCACCTCCACCTGCTTGGAGACCCGTAGTAGGCCGTCCTGGCATTTGAGGGCTAAGGCTGGGAGAGCTCTGCCTGGTGGGTTTTGAGTGCCATTCTGTCTGGGGATTTCTCGGGAGGGGGATGGGGGAAGAGGAGGATGGGCAGATGGAGGTGAGGGCCACTGGGTGGATCCCTGTGGCTACCTGAGTTTGTCAGGTGAGGGTCCTCAGCCAGGAATTGCCCTTGGGGGCTAAGTCAGTGGGTGGGTGGGTGGTGCCCAGGCTCAGGCCCAGCCCTGGTACTTGCCCAGGCTAAAGGCCTTTTCCTCCTTATTTTAGAAAGTTGGCTTTGCTCTCTTTTTCTGATTACAAAAGTAGCATGTGGTTGTTTCCCAAAGCTTCAGCATCACAGAAACTCCTAACGGTACAGTGGCAGTGGTGGCGGTGTCTGCGATATCTGTGTCCTCTCCCACCCAGGAGGGACATCGAGTGAGGAGCTGGCCCTGCCACACTGCCCCTATGTCAGGCATGAGAGTACTTGCTCTGTCTGGCCTGGGCAGGGGCCCGGCATGGCAGGGATTTGAGGCAGTGTTTGCCACCCCACACAGGAGTTCCTGCCTCATGGCCACACAAGTGTCCTATCCTGTATGGGGGTAGGGCTCCTCCCTGTAGCCATCCCTTCCAGGCAGGGCTGGACCCACCCTGACAGCTAAACCCAAGGGGTCCTCACTCGTCTGTCCTAATGCAGGTTGAATGACATGTGGACAATTGGCCTCCAGGACCGAGAGCTCACCTGCTGGGAGGAGGTGAGGGACCTGGGGAGCGAGGGTGCAGGTGGAGGGAGGTAGGGGGCATCGGGAGTCAGGCTGGGGGTTGAGGCTGCTTTCTTCCCCTTGCAAAGCCCAACCTTGACCTGAGCCTCACTCTCCTTACTGGCGACCTGCAGGCCTTCACGGCCAGTTCCTCACTGTGGCTGCACAGTGACTCAAGGCTTTGGATGGGCAGAGTGCCACATGTAAAGGATGTGATTTTGCTTTAATCCACCCTTTATTTCAGTGCAGCAAGGGCAGCCTGCTATCCAGTGTCCTGCACCCTGGAGCTCCCCCTGAGCTTGCTTTCCCCTTTAGAAACATGGAATTTATTTATTTATTCATAATTTTTTTTTTCAGTCTTCTGGGCATGAAAAACATGAGTTTAGCCCCTGATGATTTAACCCTGATGACTGTAGCCTCAGTTGTTCACAGCTGGGCCCCTTGAGGTGGCTATGAGCTGTTCCAAAACAAATGAATCTGTGAACCTTCATCTGCGGAAGTTTCAAGAATAAAAGCAGTGCCCTCTCGGCAGTCTTGTGTGTGGTGAGATGTGAGCGGGACCTGTGAGGCCTGGGCTGAGCTGTCCTCTCCCGCTGCAGGTGGCCCAGAGTGGTGAGATTCCCCCGTCTTGCTGCAACTTCCCTGTGGCCGTGTGCCGGGACAAGATGTTTGTGTTCTCTGGGCAAAGCGGAGCCAAGATAACCAACAACCTCTTCCAGTTTGAATTCAAGGACAAGACGTGAGTCCTCTGGCCAGTGGGGCTGGGGGAGGATGGTCAGTGTCCCCGGATCCTTCTGAATATGAAGGATGCCCCTGGCACCTGGTGGCCACAGTAACTGTCCTTTTGAGCTCTGCAAACAACAGGAGGTTACAGCCCAGAGCAGGGATATGTGGGGCTCCTGGCAGGCCCCCAGGATATGGCTACAGCTTAGCAAGATAGGGCCTGGTGAGGAGGCCCCTGGCTAGGCTTTCCTCTGAATGTGAAGGACGTCCCTTTCCCTGTGAATGTCTTAGTCAGTGCCACCAGTAACAAAGCGGCCCGCATAGATCTCAAATGATGACAGAAGCCCAGAGGGGCCTGCAAGCCCTGAGAGCTGTGGCCCGTGCTGCCCCTGGTTGCCGGCCAGCCCTTGACCCCTGCAATGGGGCTGGAGGAGAGGACGCAAGGAGTGTGAATTGCAGGTGCAGGGGGCTTGGGAAGGGACTTGGAGCTTCCCTGGAGGCCAGGGGTGTGTGGGAGGAAGGGCAGGGCACCCCAGGATGAGGGAGCCTATCAGGGGCCTGGGGTTCAGCATGAAGCCTGATGGCCTTGCCAGGCCAGGACCTGTTTTGAAGTCTTCAGCTAACATAGCAAAAGAAAGGACTTGTGGGAGGTGCTGGGAATCCTGGAAGGTAAAAGGTGCTGTAGCAGCATCAGGATATGGGGTGCAGGCAGTTCCCAGGATAGGGACTCAGCTTCGGGGATGGTCTGACGGGGCAGCGTGAAGGCAGTGACCTGCGATGGTCTCTGCACAACTTCACTCCCCAGAGAGCAGGACTGTCTGGCGGGTCAGATGCCACCCTCCTGCCCGTCACTGCTGCCTGCTCATGGGGGGAGGGGGAACTCTGGCAGGACCCCAAGGTGGGCTACATGGAGCCAGGCAGGGCTGGTGCCAGTGCTGGATGGGGTGAGGGGTGCTCAGCTCAGGTATCTAGGCCCTCCCTCTGGACCTGGGCTAGTCACTGTAGGGGCTGCAGGGGGACCTCCCAGTAAGGGTGGTGGGGAGACTCAGAGGGTGAATCAGAGCTCCTGGCCCAGCACTGGTTCATTGTTGTGTACTCCCAGGTGGACACGCATTCCAACTGAACACCTGCTCCGGGGCTCCCCACCACCCCCTCAGCGGCGCTACGGGCATACCATGGTGGCCTTTGACCGCCACCTCTATGTGTTTGGGGGTGCAGCCGACAACACCCTGCCCAACGAGCTGCACTGCTATGATGTGGACTTCCAGACCTGGGAGGTTGTCCAGCCCAGCTCTGACAGCGAGGTGACGGTTCCCAAGGGGGTCCTGACTGCTGGCTGGACACCAGTGGCTCCTACCCTGCTCCCACCCTCTCCCCAGCTCCTCACAGCCTTGGGGCCCCCCGGGGTTCCAGACAGCTACGAGGAGCCAGGCCAGGACACCTGGGTCTCAGCCCTGGACACCTGCCCCAGCCTCTAGCCACGGCTTCGCCCCACAGTCTGCAGGGGGTTAACGCCCACACCCCACCATAGCTGCATGGGGCTGCTGTGCTGCAGACCTTTCCCGGGAAGCCCACCCTGGCCAGGAAAGGTCTGCGCCATCGAGGCCAGGATGGTGGGGGTCTCTGGGCACCTACCTGACTCTTGCCGACTAGTCTCATGCCCGAGTGCCTTTCCTCTTCAGGTTGGTGGGGCTGAAGTGCCCGAGCGAGCCTGTGCTTCCGAGGAGGTGCCCACCCTGACCTCTGAGGAGCGGAGTGGCTTCAAGAAGTCCCGAGACGTGTTCGGCCTGGACTTTGGCACCACCTCAGCCAAGCAGACCACCCAGCCCGCCTCGGAGGTACAGGCCGGGACCTTCATTAAGCCTTCATCACCCGCTGAAGCAGGTCCTGTGATCAGCCCGTCTCACACATGGGGAGACTGAGGCCCAGAGAAATACTTGCTTGGGGTCACGCCACAAAGGAGGTGCAGGGCTGGGAGCCCTCGCCCAGCTGTCCAGGTTGCAGCTTTCTGGGGTCAGTGACACACACTGGCCTGAGTGCCCTGCCCACTCTGAGGGTCTTCATGGCCCATAATACCCCACTCGCCTGCATGGGCACCAGCTCCCACCTGTGTCTGTAGCTGTACCCAGGGCCCTCCTCCCTTGGGAATCCTGCCGCCTGGCCCTTCATGGCCATGAAGTACCATATCCTTGCCCTTACCTGGCTGCACCAACTCCACTGTGGAGGCTCCGCCCCCCATCCTACCTTGTCTTGTTGTCCCCCAGCTACCCAGTGGGAGGCTCTTCCATGCAGCTGCTGTCATCTCGGATGCCATGTACATCTTCGGGGGCACGGTGGACAACAATATCCGCAGCGGGGAGATGTACAGGTTCCAGGTGTGGGGCCTGTGGGCCTGCAGGGCCAGCTGGGTGGACAGGTCCCCATGATGGAAAACAGGCCAAGTGGCGGGGGGCGGGCGGGACTTACCCAGACTGTTGCCAGAGCCATACCTGGCAGGATGGAAGCCTTGGGAGGAGCCGTCTGGGCTGAGGGCAGGCTGAGGTGGCACTAAAGTGGGCAGCCTCTGTGCAGAGTGGGGCAGGTGAGTGGTGCTGGGGCTCATGGCAGAGGCAGTGGAGGGAGCTGGGCCAAGCTGGGCTCAGCACTGGAGCCTCACAGGCATCACAGCCTGGCCCAGGGCTGACAGTGGCTTGTGTTGACAGTCCCTTCCCAGGCCTGGAGGAGCAAGTGGTCAGGGCAGGGACTCACAGCCACAGTGAGGTCAGGGCGGCTTCCTGGAGGAGACTGGGGTGTGCTGGTGGGGGCCAGCATGCGGACACGGGTCCAGGCAGAGTGGAGGCAGCAGAACTCTACTGGGGCCTAACAGAAGGTGGGACTGGTGGGGGAGCCCCTTACCTGCTATGGGGCCATGGACAGTTGCAGGTGCCCAGGCTGAACCCAGGCCATCGCTTCAGGGTGGGGTGGCGGCTGCTTTCTCTCCTTAAGGTGCATCTGCCTCCTGTGCCCTGAGGGTCAGCATGGGCCAGGTAGGGACCTCAGGGTCAGCCTGCGTGGCTATACTGAGGCCACTCTGCCGACCTCAACATCTGGCCTCACTGGGCCCCTCCTGCAGTTCTCCTGTTATCCTAAATGCACGCTGCACGAGGACTATGGGCGGCTGTGGGAGAGCCGTCAGTTCTGCGACGTGGAGTTCGTGCTGGGTGAGGTGGGTGCCTGTCCTCGTGCCCTGCTCCGCCTGCTGTGCCCAGGCAGTGGGAACTTCAGCCCTCAGAAAAACAGCTGCTGGCCCAGTGGTGCCGACCCTGGTCAGCTGGGTCTCTGTTCTCTGGGGTGAGGGTCCCCTGCCTTCTGCCCATGCATCATTCTTTGTGCAGAAGGAGGAGTGCGTGCAGGGCCATGTAGCCATTGTCACAGCGCGGAGCCGCTGGCTTCGCAGGAAGATCACGCAGGCACGGGAGTGGTTGGCCCAGGTGAGGTGCTCACCTGCCCTGTCTTCACCTGACAGCCATGCCTGTTGTCCACTGGGGTGCCCTTGAGCTCCCTTCTCCCCACAGAAGCTGGAGCAGGAGGCCACCCCAGTTCCCAGGGAGGCCCCCAACATGGCTTCGGGTGGGGCCCGGCCGCCCCTGCTGCACGTGGCCATCCGGGAGGCCGAGGCCCGGCCCTTTGAGGTGCTCATGCAATTCCTCTACACCGACAAGATCAAATACCCACGGAAAGGTCCGTCTGGGTGGGGGTGGAGCAGGATTGGTATGGGTTGGGGTGTGGGCAGCAGAGCCAGGAGGTGGGTGCTGCTAACCCTGCCTTACTGATGGGGCCTGAAGCTCGGAGGCTGCGGTGATGAGTGGCACCCTCATCACTCATGATCACTGCAGCTGGTTGCCATCTGAGGCCCCTGAGACCTTGTTCCCACCTGGTGGCCCCAACCCACATTCTTTCATGGGGGGAGCCCTGGGCCCTGGGCCCCACCCTCCCCTTCCTGGCTCCCTGAGACTTGGGGGCTCTGGAGCGCAGGCCACGTGGAGGATGTGCTGCTCATCATGGATGTGTACAAATTGGCGCTGAGCTTCCAGCTGTGCCGCCTGGAGCAGCTGTGCCGCCAGTACATCGAGGCCTCCGTGGACCTGCAGAACGTGCTGGTCGTGTGCGAGAGTGCCGCCCGGCTGCAGCTGAGCCAACTCAAGGTGTGGGGTGAGGTCAGCGCGACCAGGGCTGGGTGGGGTGTGCTCAGGTCTAGGCCCCCTCCCTGCCTACCACTGTGAGTCCCTCACCCTGCCTGAAGCCCTGGCTTGACCCCACCTGCCTGCCTGTGCCTGTCTGCCCAGGAGCACTGTCTGAACTTCGTGGTGAAGGAGTCCCACTTCAACCAGGTGATCATGATGAAGGAGTTCGAGCGCCTCTCCTCCCCACTGATTGTGGAGATTGTGCGGCGGAAGCAGCAGCCGCCTCCTCGTACTCCCTCGGACCAGCCGGTGGACATTGGTAGGAAGCCCCATTCCCCTTCCCTGGGGGCTGGGAGTGATGGTGTTCATCTGTGGCAGGAGACTTGGGAGCCGTAGCACCTGCCAGGCCCTTGGGGTGGGTGCCATGGGACCCCAGAGTGCTCTCCTGGGTATAGGGCAGAAACAGATAGAGGCAGAAGCCCCTGACCCATGGGGCTTGCCACAGTGGGCTGTGTCCTGGTGAGCTGGAATTTCCTGAGCTGATTTCTGGGGGTGGATATGGGGCACCTCTTTCGGGATGTCAGGTCTGATGGCCCAGTCACAATGATCAATCTCTGGACTTTTTGCTTGTAATGTCACAGGCCCCTTCATTCCCCCAGCTCTCCCTGGGGCCTGTGCTGACCCCAGTTGCTGGCTCTTGGTGACATCTGCAGACAACAGAAGCCATGCGGTGGGCCTGGAGGGGGATTGATCATGAGGGCAGCAAGGGGGCACAGCAGGCTGGGTGGAAGATGAGATGCTGGGAGGAGGACTGTGTGTGGGGTGCTCGAGTCGGCCAGGGTGCCAAGGGAGGACAGAATGTGGCTGATGGTGCCTCAGGGCCAGAGTGAAGCCTCCTGCCTGCATGAAGTTTTGTTTAGGGAAGCAACATGGGCAGATGTGCAGGAAGGTAGTGCTGTGGGGCCTCAAGACCAGAATCCCAGGCTGTACCTGCTCAGGGTCCCTCCCACCCCCAGGCACGTCTCTCATCCAGGACATGAAGGCATACCTAGAGGGGGCAGGTGCAGAGTTCTGTGACATCACATTGTTGCTGGATGGGCACCCACGGCCGGCCCATAAGGCCATCCTGGCCGCCCGCTCCAGGTGGGTAGGGCTGGATAGGAGGGGAGGGTGGGCCTGAATGGTGTCTTCATTTCGCTGAGAGCCGGATGTCTTCCACTTGCTGTCTGCAGCTACTTTGAAGCCATGTTCCGGTCCTTCATGCCCGAGGATGGGCAGGTGAACATCTCCATCGGGGAGATGGTGCCCAGCAGGCAGGCCTTCGAGTCCATGCTGCGCTACATCTACTATGGAGAGGTCAACATGCCACCTGAGGACTCGCTGCATCCTCATGCCCCAGGGAACTCCCAGATCCCCACTGACAGGTCCCAGCACCTGCCTTGGGCAGCTTTGAGGCCCCCTGGGTGCCTCAGCACCTCCCTCCAGAGGATTTGCTGGTGCCTGGGGCGGGGCCTGGTGCTCTCTGAAGCAGGTGGCAGCTGGCAGGGAGGGGTTTGCAGCCAGGAGGAACCAGTGGGTTCCTGACCCTCACAATTGCCCAGAGGATGGGGTGGGTTATTGCTTTGTGTGACAGTTGAGCACAGATGTGGTGCTACTAGTCTTATGTCACTTCAGTAGGGGTCTGAACATGGGGGGTCAGGATGCCTGTTAGGCCTTCAAGGTCATGGAACAGTGCTGCAGATGTGCAGACAGTATCTTTCTAGGGAGGGGATTTGCGGTTTTCTTTGGATCTTGAATGAGACCTTTGATCCACTAAGTAATTCAGAATCCATTTAGAGAGCCTGCTGTCGTCTGGGCTGGATTGGAGCGTGGCCTCTAGTGAGCTTGGGACTCCAGCTGTGCGCCTCCCTGTCCTTCCCTGGGAGGGTGTGGGTGGACCAGCTTCCTTTGGTCAGCTCCTTAACCAGGCCCCAGCTACCTGTTTGCGGCCCCCTACTATTACGGCTTCTACAACAACCGGCTGCAAGCGTACTGCAAGCAAAACCTAGAGATGAACGTGACAGTGCAGAATGTGCTGCAGGTAGCCTCCCAGCCCTGTGCCCATGGCTGCAGCTGCTAGTGAGCGGGGGTGAAAGGGGCAGCACCTCAAGGTCCCTGTCGTTGCAGATCCTGGAGGCGGCTGACAAAACCCAGGCACTGGACATGAAGCGGCATTGCCTGCACATCATCGTGCACCAGTTCACCAAGGTCGGGGCTCTGGCCTCCCCTTCAGGACTTGCTTCCTCTTGGTAGTGACCATGCCTGGGCAGGGAGGCGTGCCCAGGCTCTGTGGTCTCCTGCAGTTGTGGGCCCTGGGAGTGAGCGAAATACGAGTAGCTCCCAACTGGCTGCACTTAGCCCCATCCTCGGGACCAGCCTGAGCCCTGAGCAGGGTGGGCCATAGAAGGCTCTGCTGCCCACCCTGGCCCTTATGTGGATCTGGTACCATCTCCTTCTGGCCTGGTTGCCTTGCAGGTCTCCAAGCTGCCCACGCTGCGGTTGCTGAGCCAGCAGCTGCTGCTGGATATCATAGACTCCTTGGCCTCCCACATCTCTGACAAGCAGTGTGCGGAGCTGGGCGCCGACATCTGAGACCCTGTGGCGCCTACCCAGTGTGACGAATTGCCATGCCTGCCTGCCCTGCCCACTAAGAAGACTGTACTGGCCACACACGTGCCTATGGCAGAGTGGGTGCACCTGCCAGGCCAAGGGCACCCAGAGCCTCCAAAGAGAGCTGAGGGGATGTGTGGCCCCAGATGCCTCAATTTACCGAGGACACAGGTTCCACAGGGAGCGGATGATGAAGCAGACCCCGTCCCCTGCTGGCACCCTCTCCTGGTGTAGTGTGGGTGCACGGTCACGGCTCAGTGATGGGGACACCAACCAGAAGTGGGGAGGGATGGGCTTCCCACCCTGTGGAGCTCGGCCTGGCGTCCGAAGCTTGGGTGTATTGTAGACCCAAGCACTGGGGCCTGTCACTAAGGCCCTTCCAACATGCAGAAGGAGGCCTGGCAGAATTGCCCCTACACCAGGGAATCTGTCTGGGCTACTCCTGCCCTGTCCACCCTCACTGAGATCCATGTAAGGGGCTCTTCCTCCCATTGGAACTTGAGTGGGGATTATATGTAGGTCTCACATGACTTGAGGTGAATCTTGGAGTGAAGGGCTCTGAGGTCAGCTCCCAGGTTGGCTGGGCCTGATTTTCACAGGGACTGAAGGATCCCAGCCCCACTGTGTGCATGTCAGGGCTCAGGGCTGGGCCAGGAAGAAGCCAGCAAAGTCCCCTGTGTCCCTCACTGAGTATTCTGTCATAGATAAGCCTTGATTAAAGCCACAGCAGTGCTACCCACCACATACACTTTGCTGGCCTGGCCACCATTGCTGGCCTCAGCCCCTCAGCCTGCCTGCAGCCAAGGACTGGCTCTGTGGCCCATGGCTTGGCAGACCTCCAGATGTAGGTTAGTTGGTCTTACCTGTTTCTAGCTATGCTGTCAACTCCTTTCTCAACCTGGGGTGACCCGGTCACACTGGAGAGAAGAGCTGTGGAGGCCTCCAAGCTGGCCCCTCCCGGGGGAATCCTGGAGTGGGCTCCTGCCCTGTCTTGCCTCTGTACTGTGCTCTTGGCTGCTGTGGTAGGTGGGCTGCCCTCTTGCCCTAGTGAGGACCACATGTGAATCCACTCTGATGCTGGGGAACCAGTGTTCCCTTACTGGGAACAGGATTCCAGGACCCCTTTTTTGGTCATGGCTGCCATGAAGCCATAGCTCACCTTGGGGAAGTGACCTGCTCTTTTCTGGCTTTAGAGTTCATTTTCCTCCTTTGCCTGTGGCTGTGTGCACATGTATGGGGGGCCCTGAGTGGCAAGTTGCTTAGCTAACAGGAGAAATCCATAGGCAGCCCACAGGCTAGGAAGTGGCCTGGTCCAAGATGAGCTGGGAAACAAGGGAGAGCAGGAGCAGGGGCAGGGGCAGAGGCTGAGCCAAAAGGCCCTGTTGTGAGGACACAGAAGCCCAGGGCTATGGCTGGTGGTGGGGGGGATTATGTCAACACATGGAAGTAGAGTGCAGACCAGGGCAGCCAGCCAAGGGGGCCAGGTGTGAGTCACTCAGTGGGGTCACAGAACCACCTACCATTTCCACAAGATGTCTCTTGCCACTCCTACAGGGCAGCTTCCTCCAAACCCCTTCTGGAGGGGCCAGCCCAGAAGCCTCCTTGAACTAGTCTGCAAACCCTGCTCTACGCTGACCTTGTCACTGAACCCTCAATTGTCTTTTCTAGACATGATGTGAATAAATGAAATTACATGTGAAGGGTCCTAAAAAGCAAATTTTACAAAAATTTTTTGGCAGTTTCTGGGACTAAAATGAATTCAGTTGTGTTCCTTGGCAGGGAAAGGCCAAACTTGCAGTGAGAATCATCCCACGCATGGAGCTGTTTGAGAATCAGCTGTGACAAGGCCTTCCAGGTTTCTGGGAGTTGAAGGAAAAGGATGCTGAGGCCAGGACCCAAGTGCTTGTCTACAAGTTCTAGCCACCTCTTCCCAGACTTCCAGGGACTAGAAATGTCACTTGGGTCTTCACTACTTGCTGGCGTGCCCCAGGAGGCTGATCATTGTCATTGTCCGTTTTTTTTTTCTTTTTTTTTTTGAGATGGAGTTTCCCTGTTGTTACCCAGACTGGAGTGCAATGGCACAATCTCGGCTCACTGCAACCTCCGCCTTCTGGGTTCAAGCAATTCTCCTGCCTCAGCTTCCCAAGTAGCTGGGACTACAGGTGCGCACCACCATGCCCAGCTAACTTTTATATTTTTAGTAGAGACGGGGTTTCACCATGTTGACCAGGATGGTCTCGATCTCTTGACCTCGTGATCCACCCGCCTCGGCCTCCCAAAGTGCTGGATTATAGGCGTGAGCCACCGCGCCCGGCCCCGTTTTTCAAATAGAGACAGCAGTGAAGGGAGCAGCGAGGGGGTTGCCCTGTTTACCCACCAGGCAGATGAAGTCTGTGGACAAGCCTGTCATGCACCTGTTTGAGAACTGAATCCAGACTGGGTTTTAGGAGTGTTCTCAAAGGGGCTGGCTGACTTAAATTGGGGCTGTTTCAGATCCTGTGGAAGGGGTGCCTTGAACTGCTTTCCTGGCCCCTACTCACAACATCCTGCCCCCTACTCACAACATCCTGCCCCTTCAGAAAACTGTGGGGCATGGAGCTGCAATGGCTGGCTGCTACCGGTCTACCAGAAGCTCTGAGGGGTGAAAGCCAGGCTTTCTGCTCTCCCTGGCGAAGAGCTTGGACTGAGCTCTTCTGAGAGCAGAGCTGAGAGTGAGCCCTCTGGGAGCTGCAGCCACTGTCTGGGGGCAGCAAGCTTAGTACCCAGAGGGGCTCCAGCCCCCAGCTGAGCCAGACAGCAGGGCCTCCTTCTAGAATCCACTTTATTATGGCACCTGGTGGTTATGGTGGATTCTGAGGGAGAAGGAGGCTGCACCCTTGCTAGGCAGCCCCTCGGTCAGTCCAGTGGCCCCTCCCTCAGGCTATGCTGTTGCTCAGCTGCATGGCAAAGTCCTGTACATGCTCCTTCAGAGTCTGGCGGGCATCTGCCTGTGCCCGCTTCTCCCGTGCCCGCTCCTGCTGCAGCTTGGTCAGTCTCAGCCGCAGCCGCTGCTCCCGTCGCTTGCAGGCCTGCAGCTGGCGCTGGGCCTTGTCGAGGGCATCAAGAGCTGCCTCAGCTCGCCGCTTCCAGAGCAAGGCGCTGCCCACCTGGTAGCTGTGTTCATTCTGGATGTAGGCTCCGGCGGGTGGCGGCAGGCGCAGCATGTAGGCTGAGGGGGAGACTGGCCGTGGCTCGAGAGGGGAGGGCTGTGGCTCTGGTGAAGGCTGGGCACTGCAGCCTGCTTCATCTGCCTGGGCACCCAGGGGGCCCAGAAGGTCTGAAAAGGGGCTGCTAAGGCCAGGCTCCAGCCTCCCAGCTGGGGAGGCTGGCAAAGTGGCAGGTGCTGAGGCCTCTTCCACAGGAAAGCAGGTGACATCAGCAGGTGGAGGTGGAGAAAATGGAGTTGTGGGCCCTCGGCCCTCGGAGCAGCTGGTAAGGGGGAAGAGAGAGGCTGATGGGCTAGGCTGAGGGCCTGCCAGACCCCACTCCACCAGCCCACCTAACCCCCCAACACCCAAACCTGATCCACAGGTTCTGTGCAGCAAGAACCCTGTCCGGCTAGACTGCTGGCAGATGACCCAGAGCCCAGTCCCTTGGCCTAGGGGTGGGAGTGGGGCTTTCCCCACCAGTACCACATACCGCTTCCTGCATCGCCTGAGCCGGGTGACTTCAGTGGGACCAGATGGGTAACTGTGCCCCTTGGTCTTGGATGTCCGGCGCAACTTGGAGAAAGACTCGAATATGGTGGGGACTGCTCCCTCCTTTAGCCTGTGATACCCGCTGTGGGGAAAAGCAGCCCAGATGAGCTGGAGAGCAAGTGCTGCCTCCCCGAGCCAATGTACCCCCGGCACCCTGGAACAGCTTCCCCAGCACTAGCGCCGTGGGAGGCTGGAAAGCATCGTGCAAACAGTAAGTCTCAGGGATGCCAAGTTAGAGCTACACCAATCGCTTCCCTGCAGTACTCCTCAAAGTCGAGGTGTGTGGAAAGCCTGCACAAGCAGAGCTGGGCTGACCTGCCAAAAAGAATTCTTTGATTTGTGGACTCGCTGGCAGGACTGGGGCTCTGAAGAACACTCTCTGGAAAGGCTCATGTTTTTCCCTTGTGTCACTGGCAGTGATCCTGGGGGAGGGTTTCATTGTACAGAGCTCGGAAGAGGATACAGACCCCTTGGAAGCAGGTCGGCCTGCCTGGCAGGCTGCTCAAGGGACTTCCAGGACCTGCAGCTGCCCCAATCCGCCTGAAGCTCCACATCCTACCCCAATGTTGGCTGGCAGGGAGGCCCACCTGATTCCCACCAGCTCAAAGCAGTTCTCCTCAAAGTGTTTGGAGCAGAAGTAGATGTACTCGGATGCTGGGTCCCACAGGCCCTGGCCGCTGGGGTCCAGCCGCTGGCAGTTGGCCAGCCACAAGCCTCGCCTCGGGTTGTCCTTCTTGGGAAGTCTGTGGAGCCACAAACCCATGAGCAGTAGACTGTCCGCAGCCCTGGGCTCATGCTGCCCAAGCTCCCCGCTGGGGAAAAGCAGACCCAACACGCACCGCCACGAGACCTCCCTGCGACCCCGCCGGGTAAGCACCACCCGCCCGGGCACAGACGAAGCAATGGAGGCCTAGAGAAGAAAAGCAGTTTGCTCAGCGTCATCTGGCAGGTAAGAGTCAGAGCGGGGCAGGTCCGAGGCTAGACTTCCCGTTCTCCCCTTCCCGACAGCACTTGGTCCCACTGGGACCATCCCGCTTCACTTCCCACCCACAGGTTCAAGGTTCCTCAGGACCCGAGAAAGGCGCGAAGCGTCTACACAGTTGCGGCCCAACGAGGCGCGCAGCAACCAGCGCATGCGCACGTCAGCCCGCGCACGCGCGCCGACCTGTGGAAGGAGATGCCGCGGCTGCGCGTCTCGCGCGTGTCCCGTGTGCAGCAGCCGGCGGCGGAGCAGTGACGCGGCATCTAGGGAAGAGGCGGGAGTTAAGTCGCGAGTGGCTGTCTGGGGATCCAGAGGAGCCTCGCGCCTTCAGCCGCCGCTCCTCCCCAGGGGGGTTCTGGCCCGTGGAGTCTACCCCGGCTCCCGGCTTGTTCTCGCCCCACCCAGTCCCAGCCGGTTCTCTAGACTCCCGTCAGCAGCACTCACGATCTGTCCATTGCTGCGCCGCCGAAGTCTCGCGAGGGGTGGCGCGCGCCGGAAGTTGGTACCATAGAGACTGGAAAGTCGGCGGTGCTCCGCCCTTAGGGCGGGGCGGGGCGGGGCGAAGTCCTATTGAGTTGGATTCGGAAGCGGTGCGAGCGTGCGAGTTCTAGTCGCGCCTGCGTCGTCTCCGTTCCCAGACTACCAGTGTTGTCACACACGTGGGCTCCTCTTTCGTCCGTTCAGGGCTCACTCTTCTCTGTAAACACCCCGGCACGATGGAGCGACCCCAGTGTACGGGTCGGCCTGGGAGCGGATGGCGGCGGTGCCCTGGGAACCTCGAAAGCCGCGGGGGCGACAGCTCGCCTCGGAAAGACTTGACTGAAGAAAGAAAACGGGGCCTGGGACGCTTGCCCAAGAGAACCTGACAGAAACCAGAGCCTGCACTCACTGCCGAGTACCGGGGGACTTGAGGGAGGGCGAGGAATGCCCCAGACTACACTGGGGACGTGCGCTGGGCAGGAGGTTTCATTGTAGCCACTTTGGGGGCGTGACGGAGTCGGGAAGAAGCTGAGGATGCGGGTGGAAAGGTAGCGTCAGGAACTGCAGTGCTCAGCCTGCGGAGTCCTTGGACACATGATCCGGCGGGCTGCCTAACCTGAGCCCTCACCTCTTCCCCTAAGACTCAGTGAAAATAGCCACTCCATTTAAGGACTTCAGAAGGTTTAAATGTAAAATAATAGGCCAGGCGCTGTGCCTTACGCTTGTTAATCTCAGACTTTTGGGATGCTGAGGCAGGCGCATCACGAGGTCAGGAAATCGAGACCATCCTGGCCAACATGGTGAAACCCCGTCTCTGCTAAAAATACAATAATAATAATAATAATAGTAATAATTGGGTGTGGTGGCATGCGCCTGTAGTTCCAGCCACTCCGGAGGCTGAGGCAGGAGAATCGCTTGGACCCGGGAGGCAGAGTCTGCAGTGAGCCTAGATCACGTCACTGCACTCCAGCCTGGGCGACAGAGTGAGACTCCGTCTGAAAAGACAAAAAGGTAAAATTAAGCGTTTTTTCCTAATTCCCTCAGTCAGGTGGTTTGAAGACTCCATTAGGGGAGTAAACATACCGACATGCTTAATAATTTGTGCAAGAAAGCAGATCTTTAATTATTCCCGTAGAAATGCACTTGGAAAAGGAAGGTTATTTGGAGGAGGAATCCGTCAAAGTGCAACACAGGAGAAAAACAATATCGCAATGCAGACATTTTAATAGGTAATTAGCTCTCCTTCTGATGGGGAATACAAAGGGATGGTTGCCTGTCGCACTCTCCCCTCACTGTTTGCCTTATTCAGCCTCAGCTTCTACGGAATCCACGCCCCCGCCTTCATAATCCTTATCCAGAGCTGCCATATCATCGATGGCCTCAAAGAACTCCCCTTCCGCCTTCTGCCATGCCCTCCCCAACGTACCAGTCTAAGCAATGTAGCAAGACCCCATCTCTAAAAAAAAAATGTAGCCAGGTATGGTGACTGGTACCTGTACTTCCAGCTACTTCAGGAGCTTAGGCAGGAGGACCACTTGAGCCAAGGCATTTGAGACTGCACTGAGCTATGATCACACCACTGCACTGCAGCTGGGTGCAAGAGTGAGACCCTGCCGGGCGCGGTGGCTCACGCCTGTAATCCTAGCACTTTGGAAGGCCAAAGTGAGTGGATCACCTGGAGTTCAAGACCAGCCTGGCCATCATGGTGAAACCCCATCTTTTAAAAAAAAAAATAGTGAGACCCCAACTCAAACCAAAGTTTGCTGGGCACGGTGGCTTATGCTTGTAATCCTGGCACTTTGGGAGGCTGAGGCGGGTGGATCACCTGAGGTCGGGAGTTTGAGACCAGCCTGACCAACATGGAGAAACCCCGTTTCTACTAAAAATGTGAAAATTATCTGGGCATACTAGCAGGCACCTGTAATTTCAACCAATCAGGAGCTACTCAAGCAGGAGAATCGCTTGAACCTGGGAGATGGAGGTTGCAGTGAGTGGAGATCGTCGGGCCATTGCACTCCAGCCTAAACGACAGAGTAAGACTCCGTCTCAAAAAAAAAAAAGAAAAGTAAAATGGAGATTACAGTACCTCACAGGGCTGTTGGGAGGATCAGAAATGAGGTTTATAAAATGCTTTTACAGAGAAATCCAGCAGTTCCAGCGTAGAGGCTGATTGTCCAGGACAGAACTGAGGAGACCAAAGCAGCCTTCACTTAGCATGAAATTCCAGACACCTGAGAAACACACACAAAGCTGTGAGAAGCCGAATCCGGGGAAGCTGGAGAGCAACGTGAAAGGGAAGGAAGGGCTCCTCATCTCTGAGGACACAGCTACTATGGCCCCACTGTTTCAGGTCAGAAGGTGTCTCTGTCAGACAGAATGAATGTCCTGGTGAGGCTGCTGGGCCAGGGGAGAGCGGAAGAAGGGAGAGGCTGCTGACAGATACAGACACACAAGACACCATACCTTCAAGAGCTTACCTGCTGGGGAGAGGGAAGAAAAGGGAAGCATGAAATGCAGTATGATCATCGCAGTGAGGAGTGTGCTCCAGCTCCCCTGGGAGGGAAAGGCTGGGAGGGGAGGAAATCCCGAAGCTGAGCTCCCCAAGTGAGGTGGGCGGAGCTGGACACTTCAGCAAGAACAGCAGAGGAGCAAAGGAGGGGGTGAAAAACAGTACTGTGTGTGTGTGTGTGTGTGTGTGTGTGTGTACACTCCAAGCTTGGGGTGAGAGCACTGAATTTGGGAAGAGAGGAGCTGGCAGAGCCCAGATACCCCATGACATGCTGTGGGTGATGCACTCAAAGCTTGAGTGTATCCAGAGGGGATAAAACTCTGACAGTTTTAAGGCAGGGCATGTTTCTGGTTTAGAAAGGTCACTGGGTAGCAGGTGGGAAGGAAGGACTGCAGCCAGGAATCCTGCAAGTTCACAGAAGCTGAGGGGAAGTGAGAAGAGGGAGGAGCCAGCAGGGTGAGCTCCTGCAGCAGATGGGAGTGAGGGTGTGGGAAAGGGAGGGTTGGGCAAGCTCCGGGCCCCAGCTAGTGACTTGGGGAAAAGGGTCCCCAAAACCAGGAGCCAGCCCTTAGAGGGGGGTGATGCATTCAGGTTGGACTCTCACATTCCCACGTGACTTTGGGACATTTAGGGGAATGTCTACCAGGCGGCTGGAAACACAGGTCTGTTTCAGTGAGGTCCGGGTTTCTGTGGGGCAGGGAGCAGAGTAGGAGAGCTATAGAAGAAGCCCAGGGAAGGCTGGTGTGGGGAGCTGAGGGATGGCAGAGCTGGATGTCTATACCCAGCTGGCGATACTGTCCCTTAGCATGTACCTGATGTGGGCACAGTGGTCCCCTGGGGACCTGCTCCCGCCTCGCCTGGCTCCCTTCCCTGTCTATCTTCTGCTCCCTGTTCTGCTCAGCACTCCCTCCCCATCTGCAAACCCGGGGTAAGGAACCCCAGCTGGGTGCACCAGGCCTCAGTTCAGCCTAAGCAGTGACCAGCAAAACACTGGGTGGGGCCAGGGTCCCAGCAAGGCCAGGGAAAGGCAGGGAAGAAGATGAGGGAGACAAAATGGGTGCCCAGCCACCTTCAGCAGAGCAGCACCCCAGCCTGCAGAGGAGGAATGGCAGCAAGAAGGTGTAGGGGAGAGGCTGGGAGGGAAGGAAGGGGAGAGGAGGAGGGCCAGGCCTCAGATGCAGGGTGAGTGGCAAGAGAGGGAGCCTGTGTGCACCTGCTGGCTGCCCCTGGGTGGGGGTCATGCTGCAGGCATCTGTGTGGGTTGGTACAGGGCAGGTCTATGCTGGGGTCTCAGCCATCAGGCTAGCACTCACTACCAGAACCCTCAGCGTCTGGTTGACCTGGAGGCCCAGGCCCAGGCTCAGGGCTCCCATCGCAGAGATGCGGTTGTTGCTGCAACAAAGACAACAGACACCTGCGTTATGCAAGCTTCCTAGCAGCTGTGCAGAGGCCACAGCCCACTGGAGCTGCCACTGCAGCCACCAGGTTGGGTCTCTCGTTCCAGCCCTCCACTCACACCCCAGGAATCCCGGGCAGGTCAACGTGTAAAAGGTGGAGATGACACAGTTCAGAGGGATCATGCAGCAAACACGCCTACAGCGTCCCTGTCCTGGTGGACACCAGCTGCCGCTCCCTGGCCCTCTGAGCTCTGCAGGGGCTCCCATGTGTTCTTCCCCAGCTGACACCTCATGCCTATCACCATGACAATGTCTATTTCAAAAAATCACCTAGCTTCTGTCCAAGGCCTCTCCACCTCCTGTTGTTCCCAAACTCCAGGACTCAGCACCGCCCTGGGCCACTTTGTCTCCAGAGTCAGTCCCATTTCTCTTTCACTTCTCAGACCCCAGCCCCAGCTGCACCTCCATTTTCAGCCTCTGGGGCTGCCACCACACCAGGCTAATTTTTGCCTTTTTAATAGAGAACAGGGTTTCACCATGTTGGCCAGGCTGGTCTAAACTCCTGACCTCAGGTGACCCGCCTGCTTCGGCTTCCCAAAGTGCTGGGATTACAGGCATGAGCCACCGCACCCGGCCTATTGTACATTTTAGAATAACTGAGGGAGTACAAATGGAATATTCATAACACAAGTGATGAATGCTTGAGGTGATGGTTACCCTATTTACCCCGATGTGATTATTACACCCTATATTCTTGTATCAGAATATCCTCGCCGGGCGCGGTGGCTCACGCCTATAATCCCAGCACTTTGGGAGGCCGAGGCGGGTGGATCACAAGGTCAAGAGATTGAGACCATCATGGTCAACATGGTGAAACCCCGTCTCTACTAAAAATACAAAAATTAGCTGGGCATGGTGGCACATGCCTCTAGTCCCAGCTACTCGGGAGGCTGAGGCAGGAGAATTGCTTGAACACAGGAGGCGGAGATTGCGGTGAGCCTAGATCGCACCATTGCACTCCAGCCTGGGTAACAAGTCAAACTCTGTCTCAAAAAAAAAAAAAAAAAAAAATCTTATGTACTCCGTAAGTATATATACCTATTATGTACTCATAAAAATTAAAAATTCTGATCCAGTTGCATAGTTGATAGTATGGGCATTGCAAACAAACAAACAAAAAATTAAAAGGAAATAGTGAGACCCTGTCTCAAAAAAATAAACAAAATAGAGAAAGGAAGGTAGGCAGTGTGGAGAAGAAACCCTGAGGGATATTGAGAAAGTAAAACGAGCATAACAACACCCACCCATCCCACTCTCCGTTCTCTGTCAGCACTTAGCCAGTCTGACTTTTTTTTTTTGAGACAGTCTTGCTCGGTTGCCCACACTGGAGTGCAGTGACATGATCTTGGCTCACTGAAGCCTCTGTCTCCTGGGTTCAAGTGAATCTCCTGCCTCAGCCTCCTGAGTAGCTAGGATTACAGGTGCCCACCACCACACCTAGTTAATTTTTGTATTTTTAGTAGAGACAGGTTTCACCAGCTTGGCCAGGCTGGTCTCAAACTCCTGACCTCAGGAGATCCACTTGCCTTGGCCTCCCAAAGTGCTGGGATTACAGGCATGAGCCACCGTGCCTGGTCCTGACCTTTTTCCAGTTTGCAAAAGAACCAGCACTGGCATGTCCTCAGGCTGTCTTCCAATTGAAAGCCCCTTCTCCACCTGGCTCACATCTCCTCATCCTCCCTTTTTTTTGAGACAGGATCTCATTGTGTCACCCAGGCTGGAGTGCAGTGGTGTAATCATAGCTCACTGCAGCCTTGACCTCCTGGGCTCAAGTGATCCACCTGCTTCAGCCTCCTGAGTAGCTAGGACTATAGGTATGTGCCACTGTGCCCAGCAATTGTTTTGTTGTTGTGGTTGTTTTTATTTTTAGTAGAGACAAGGTCATCTTACTACATTACCCAGGCTGGTCTCAAACTCCATAGCTCAAGTGATCCTCGTGCCTTGGCCTCCCTAAGTGCTGAGATTACAAGCGTGAGCCTCCTTATCCTTCTAATCTGGGTTCATAGCATCAGGAAGCCTTGCCTGCCTGGCTGAGCTTACTGGATGTCCTCGAGCCCATGTCCTTCCAAGGCTCGGCCATTAGAACTCTCTTTGCCTAGTCAGTCTTTCCTACCAGTCTGAGAGTTCCTTGAAGATCTGAAGTTGACCTCTCTCCATGATCCCAGCACGTAGCATAGGTCTAGGAAGGCTGGTTTGAGGAAATGCACAGAAGAAAAATGGATGGACTAACCAGAGGCTCCTCTAGACTGCTGGACTGGCACCCGTGGCTACAGACACTTGTGTAGCACCATGGAGAGCTCCCTGCACAGAAGCAAGGACTCCAGGACATTGCCCCCTCTCTACCTGAGAACTAGACTCTGCCCAGCACTGTATTTGATAATATAGGTACTAAATTACATGCTCTTTTCTCTTTCCTCAAATACTTCTAGGGCTGGGAGCGTCGTCAGTAATCCCCCACTTTGTGCGGAGGCCCTATTTTTGCTGGACAGCTCGAGGGTGGGAAGATTCTTTCTTCTACATACCCCTGCAACTGCCAATGCTTGTTCTGTGTGACGCTTGCAGCCATCCTGTGCCGTAGGTGCTACCATTGCCATGAATCAAGTGGGGAGGCAGAGACCCAAGCTCCTTCACCTCTCAAGGGAGCTGGACCCATCCACAGACCTCCATTTGGAGAAAAAAAATGGCCTTGCTGGGCCTGTCTATTTCCAGACCCCACCTACCTTCCTCATGTACATGTGTCTGTGAAGCCTTCACAGCACCTTAGCTTCCAGGCTCTCCATCCTGGCTGCTTCTCTGGCACTTGCCATTTGACTCTGCAGGTCCAGATAGATATCTATACTGTTTGTCAAAGTCTGAAATAAGCCTGTCTTTTAATTTTGTTGACTCTCAGTAGTAATTTTATTTTTATTATTTATTTATTTATTTTTGAGACGGAATCTTGCTCTGTTGCCCGGGCTGGAGTGCAATGGCCCGATCTCAGCTCACTGCAACCTCCGCCTCCCAGGTCCAAACAATTCCCCTGCCTCAGCCTCCCAACTAGCTGGGATTACAGGTGTGTGCCACCTCACCCAGCTAATTTTTGTATTTTTAGTAGAGACAGGTTTTACCATGTTGGCCAAGCTGGTCTTGAACTCCTGACCTTAGGCCTCCCAAAGTGCTAGGATTGTAAGTGTGAGCCACTGCACCCAGCCCCAGTAGTAATTTTTTTTTTAGAAGGCAAACTGGTTCTCTGGCAGTTACACTGTAGGGCCAGTCAATTCTTAAAGGTCAAGGCTGGTGCCACCCCACTCCCTATAAGTTGCTTGAGACAGAGCAGTGCTTCTGAAGCATTGCAGAAAAGACAGTTCTCCAGGGACATCCAACAAAATGCAGATTCACGGGCATTCCCCTACCAGCAGGTCCAGGGCCAGGATCTGCATGCCTAACCCAGGGTCCCAGGCGATTGTTACTATTATTGAACCATTTGAGGAGAGGCAGGTAGAAGTGCATATTCCTGGCAAAGCAAACGCTCAGGGGCATGAGAGAGAGTGATGAGATGAAGGAATCCCAACCATGTCTGCTATCTCACTTAGAATAAAACCTACCCCCTTTTTGCCATGACCTACAGTCCTGCAGACCCCTTTGCCCTCTCCACCCGCAGCCTGGCCATGCTTTCCTGACTCCCTAGCCTAGTCACACTGCTGTCTGCCAGTCTGGGAAACAGGCCCACGTGCTCACTATTCCTCTGCTTGAAATGCTCTCCCTCTGATCTTGCCATGGCTGTCTGTTTCCCACTCTGCACATTTCAGCTTAAATGTCACCTCACAGAGACCTCCCCAGCCACCTCTTTAAAGCAGGGGGTCGCTGTTCTTCTCTAGAAGCATGCACTGCTTGTTTCTTTTGCAGCACCAATAATGACTGAGAATGTTGTTGTTGGCATGTGCTCCTTGAGGTCAGGAACTTGGTTTTGTTCAAGGTGGATCCCCGGTGGCTAAGTCAGTGCCCAGCACATACAGCAGTGGGCA